AGATTTCAAAGCACATATTAGAGATCTGGGGAGAACACTGGTCTGAACATATCAATAAAATATTATTAGCTTGAGATTTCAAAGCACATATTAGAGATCTGGGGAGAACACTGGTCTGAACATATCAATAAAATATTATTAGCTTGAGATTTCAAAGCACATATTAGAGATCTGGGGAGAACACTGGTCTGAACATATCAATAAAATATTATTAGCTTGAGATTTCAAAGCACATATTAGAGATCTGGGGAGAACACTGGTCTGAACATATCAATAAAATATTATTAGCTTGAGATTTCAAAGCACATATTAGAGATCTGGGGAGAACACTGGTCTGAACATATCAATAAAATATTTATGGCAATGCATAGATATGTTCATGCTAGTATACATATAGGTTCGTACCTATCTATGATTGTCCTTCCTAGCTAGTTGGTACTCCAGCTCCATATTTAAAGGGATACTACAACTACACCCTAGAATTTTAGGGGATATTATGATAGTAAGTGCATAAATAATAGTATATACCTACTTTTTTTTATAATCACGCATTCACACTTGTCATAAAACAACAGTGAGTTTTGACATCTTTATTTTTGGCAGCTGACATGACACCACTCAATTTTTCTGCCACTTTGAAGAAGTTGCAATTTTGCCAATTTATTTTGCACGTTACAGACCGAGGGCTAATCGCAAAAGTGCAATTATATCTATACCGAATAATTTTTATTTCAAGACAAATTCGTCGAACATATTATAACTGAATGTAAAAGTTGTTTATAAGATATTGCAATTAATCCTCCATTTCAATTAATAAATAAGAAACACCCTCGGCCTGTATAGCCTGCAGCCAAAAAGTTGTGATGCACAACTTTGAATGCAGATGGGCTATAGTGGGGGCAGCGCCATTGCAAGCAACAATACAGCTGTTAGTTTTAAAACATTAAAAAAATATTTCTAATAAATATTGAACATTGAAACTTTCTGTGTAGAGTAAATTAACTCTATTTTAACTGAAAATATGCATGGAACCTTGGGTCAAGTATCCCTTTAAATCTTTCTAAGGATATACCTCCATATCTCGATGAGTGATGAATTATGGGTTCTACATCTCAAAGCCAGTTGGGTTTTGTGTGTTGTATTGGCAAGAATTGTCACTATGTTTTGACCAGCTCCAACAACTGCTACTCGCTGAAGCGGACACTGAAAAAGAAAATTAGCAATCCTACATTTGCTAGAACTATATTGTGCTAAAACATTTGTCCTCGTGATTTTATATTTAATACAAAATTAACATGCAACACTGAAACAGACACAACTTTGCATACCAGAGTCTGTAGTAATAATTTGAATTTGCATATTTTACTTTTGCACCAAGGGTATTTCAAAGACATAAAAAACTACTATATATAAATAAATCAGGACATATATGTTTTGCTATGCATCTTAAATATGCTATTGCTACACATGATTGCTATTGCAATCATTATGCATCCATACCTTCCAGCACTCTACAGACTGTGTATACAGTTCCAGAGTCTCTGCCAAAGCATCATCCGTTAGGTTGATGTGGAAATAAGCAGTATCAATCTTTAGATTTGCATTGTGAGCAGACGTTGCTACGGTATGAAATAACAAGTACGTTATATTGTTTAGTCAAGTTGTAAATCAAGAGCACAAGAACATTGTAGATAGATTCCTTTTATTTGGCTTTTCGCCGACATAATGTTCATTAAATTACTATAGTTACTGACATAAATTTACCTGTGTACTTTTGGAAAACAGATGTCTGCATTTCTATACCAGTATGATGATCTTGATCTTCTAAGTGAGGATCAGGTGTTATCTGAGGAAGCTTCAACATCACTTCATTTTCAAATTGTCCATGGTTCTCTATCTTCTTCTTGAAGTCGATGACATCGTTAGCTCGGCACACTATAATTAATCCAATTAATCCATTATATTCATAAAAACACGTAGCACGTTATACAAGGCTTTGTAGAAGATCACGTTCAGAAGACTATAGTCGTATATACGTATATGTGAATAAAATGACTAAACAGCTGAGGAAAGCTGATGTCTCTTAGAAATCTATCAGGATTAGTCTATATAGAGAGTTCTGCAACTTGTACTAAAAATAGCAATATTAGCCACAATCCCATGCCGTCGGCCATACTGCATGGTGCTGAGAGGGTCTATGCCCCCCAGGGTACTGCCGGAACGTACCCTGGTACTATCTAATATGCCGGACCGTACCTCGATCGCCTACTCCACTAACGATCGAGTCTAGGGAGTCGCCTACACCTACTCCCTAACCCTATAACCATATCAGATATAGTTACCAGGGTACGTTCCGGTATACCAGACCGTAACCTGGGGGACATAGACGTACCCCATGAGCCATACTGGTAGTCAGTCTTGCATATGTTACGTGCATTCTTATAAGATCGCGCAGCGCAATCTACCAATTTTATATGGGCTATATATTGATATTATGGTAATATATATTATATTAGCAGTAAGTGAATCCTGGTTTTGCTGATCTATAGGTTTATCAGCATGGGTTGGGGTGCTAGAGTTTGATGAGATTGCACAGGCCAGGTTTTGCAGGGTTTTGCAGGCAGGTTTAATTATCAGCGTGAGGGTGGGGGGCTATATAGTTCAATGAGATTGCAGCACAGTTGGCCGATCGGTATATTGCACAGATCGGAAGATGTGCACGCAACACATAGACTACAGTTTGTTTACATCCGACATTGCGTTTGCATTGTCATACACGGTGTACGTCGTAGACGTACGTCTAGGACGCATCGTGTAAATAGGCCTTTAATAGGCCTTTACTCGCTTTTAGTGTTAGTGTTACTGTTATGTTACTGTTGTCGTACGTTGAGTGTTGTTAGTGTCACTGACACTGTAACGTTAGTGTTACTGACACTGACACTGTTACTGACACTGACACTGTCAACTGACATGTCACATCATTTCATGTGTTTGATAGAGACAGCTGTAAACAGCTTTACCTTGTGGTTGTCCATAAAGGAAGCTTGCATAAAATAATAGTAAATGCAAGCTATATCTAAATATTTGCTTCATGAATAAACTTAGTCACTAAACTACAATTTGTTTTGACGCCGAACGACGAGTGGACAGCATGAAATTAGACTGAGCTCATGTCTCTTCACACGCGTGTATTAACCTATAGTGACGAGGCAGGGAACCAGTCTAGCTAGCATTGGCATTGCATCAGGTCCTGATTGCGCACCCGGCAGTTAGATGCGATATGATATGACTACTAGGCACTCAGGATATGACTACTAGGCACTTAAAAAAAAAAACACCCTAACCCTAACCCTAACCTAACCTAAACCCTAAAATTAAATTAAATTAAAGTGCCTAGTAGTCATATCATATCGCATCTAACTGCCGGTTGCCCTGATTGCATGCGGTTGAGTGTACGCGTTACCGGTTACTAGTTTCATACCACATTATTACACACAGCTCGGCGATCCCATAAAATTACGTCAGTCCGCTCACTTGTAGCTCTAGTACTATAGCCCGCTTACATTAACTGCCGCTGGCCAGCGGCAGAATGTAAGCGGGCTATAGTACTAGAGCTAGCTCACTTGTAGCACTCTCGACCTAATAGTAATATAACTCGATCAGGCCGTGTTGCATGATTACATGTTGCATGTTATATGCTGTATGTTGTTACAGCAATTAAAACATGGGCAAAATTGGGCAAATAAAATCATAGACAAAATTGAAGAATATAATTTATATGTCATTCTTATCTATTGACGCCTTATCAAAAATGAAATGGAAAAAGATGGTAAAAGAGGCCATTCTAAAAAACGTGATAGAAAGGGACGAAGGAGCAACAAAAACAAAACTGAAAATGATTAATATTCATAATTATGGATTAAAGAATTATATGACGTCAATGTTCTATGAGGATTCTTGTTTGTGTTTAAATGCAAGACATGCATGATAGATTTAACAGCCTACTTTAAAAATAAGTTTACTAATGACGGGTGTGACTTGTGTAGTGAGGGAGAAAAAGAATACTTAATTTGTTACATCTATATAATGGCTGTGAATATGGGGATATAAATAAAGGGAAATCCATTGAAGACTGGAAATGTGACGACAAAATTTTCGAGATCCGGGAATACATATATGTTTGTATATATATATGTTTGTATCATGTATTTGTCTCTTGGTATCTATGCTATGGCTCTACGGCAAAGGAGACGCGGGAAAACCGAAATCGCGGTTGTCCCGATCGGCCTGGAAATTGGTATAATTCTTTACCCGTGACGCTAAGAATGGACACCCTTCCCTTTCTAATTGTATTTTATGGTATTTTATTGTTATATGGTATTCCTCCACTTATACTCGGTTGCCATCACCCTAAAATGTACTAATATACATATGTGATATGTGATATGTATATATCACTGTAGGTGTGTGTAGATATAAGATATGTGTTAATAATATCTGCGTTCACGTACTGACTGCTATATGCTTTCAGAATTTTTGTTGCCAATTCTACTAGTAGTCGTTTTATCCGCACTATTGTTACGTCAATTATTTTCGCAATAATGTTATTCTTCGATTGTCACAATTTTTCCAACATTTCTCCGTATGCGTAATAGAATGTTAGGTTAAATAAGACTTCATATTCTAGTGAATTATTATACTTTAGACAAATTTTCTACTAATTCTACTATTTAATGTGATTTAAAATATTTGGGCATATATCATATACGTATAATATGTATATATATATATATATAATATGTCATGCGCCTAATCTTTTCATTAATGTTTGTACCATGATTGCACCAGGAGTGAATAATTGAGATTATCTCAATTATTCACTCCTGATTGTACTTGTATTAGTTTGTCATGTTATGTTAATTATTCTCACGTTCATATTCCGCTGCTATAATCTCCAGGGTACAAACACTTCACTGCACGTGTGATACGTGTACTGAATGTTTTTAGTGCTTATAGTGGCTTGTTGCATATGGTGTCGCGCGGTATGCTTAAAGACCAGATATATAATAAGAAGTACGGAATACTTCCCATGCCAGCCACATTAAAATTGTGTCCAACGCGCTACAAACATTTGTTTTTATGACAAGAGTCTAGGTTGATCGTTTTTTAAAGTCCCGTAAATGTCTGTAATATTGGTTATAGTGTGCACGCACGAGAGCACATAGTTTCACCTTGTAATTTTACCATAAAGTTTCAAGAAGCTTTACGCTCATACTAATTTATACAACGAATTTTCATTTGTCAAATAAGAGTGAAATTGATCGGCGTCTACAGAAATCGACAGAATGATATACAGTGATGCAGTGCATCGATGGACACAAGCAGAGCCCATATATATCATATTATGATAACGTATATTATATGATATATGGGCTCTGACCAAAGCCAACGAAGACACATGCAGCGAAACATAAGAACACGAATGAGAGCAAGGAGGAGGCAGACAGGAAGGCAGGTGCACACTTCACTCGCATCCACATACGCTGGATACACTTCCACACACGCACGCGAATACATGCACGCATGCGCAAACACACGCACTCTCCCACACACATACACACACGCACACACGCACACACGCCACACACATACACACGCACGCGCGAACACACACATACACACACACACACACACACACACACACACACACACACCACACACACACACACACACACACACACACACACACACACACACACCACACAACACACACACAAACACCTACAATAAAATCTAATCGTGTCAATAGATGGCGGTACGTGTTCTATATCGGATATAGCTGTAACGTAGAGTACAAGTAAGGGCGAGAAGAGGAAGGGAGAGCGTCAAGTATGAGTTTGGGACCCTGAACAAGCTAGGCGCTCTTCTATTATAAACACAGGATCACTGATAACAATTTATTCAAAAATCTGTGCCGAGATACCCCCTAACCAAATAAATGCATATGATAACAAATATAAACACCTCTAGTGAATATTGCGCCTGCGCGAACATCAGAACATAGCCAGATTGTGTACTGACCGTATATGCAGCCGGCCCTTACATGCAGGGGACTTTATTCCATATAATAAGAGGCGGTGTACAGATATAATGTTATTAATATAAAGCTATGCTAGAATGTCTCCTCTCCACTTTGAAAGCAAAATTTTAGAACATATATTTCTTTCTCAAGAGATATTGCGCATGCGCGAGCACGTCCCAGGCGTGGCAATACGGACTGAGAAAAACTACATAATATAGCTGGCAGACAGAGAGAAAGAGAGAGACTCAAGGAGAGAGAGATGAAGACCGGGGAAATGCGGCAGGATAGATAGTTGATGGCGGTAGAAGAAGAGGAGGCTGAGCGAGGAACACGGGAGGCGGACGGGGAGGAAGGGAGGGAGTCAAGTATGAGTTTTGGACCCGCTAACAGGCTAGGGCGCTCTCCTAATTTAAACACAAAATCACTATAACAATTAGTTCAAAAATCTGTGCCGAGATACCCTAACCAACTAAATGCATATTGATAACAAAATATAACACCTCTAGTAAGATTGCGCCCTGCGCAAACATGCAGACATAGCAGATTGCGGAACGGTATATGCAGCCGGCCCTTACATGCAGGGACTTTATTCCATATAATAGACGGGTGTACAGATATAATGTTATTATATAAGCTATGCTAGAATGTCTCCTCTCCACTTTAAAAGCAAATTTTACAAAATATCATTTCTCTCGGGAGATATTGCGCATGCGCGAGCACGTTTCAGGCGTGCAGGATGGACTGAGAAAACTACATAATATAGCTGGCTGACAGAGAGAGACGAGAGAGAGAAGAGGAGAGAAGAGAGAGAGAGAGAGAGCGAGAGACTCAGGTAGAGAGAGGTGGGAGACCGAAGAAATGCGCAGAATAGATAGTTGAGAGCGCGGAGAAGAAGAGGGAGGCTGAGCGAGGAACACGGGAGGCGAGGGAGGAGAGGGAGGGGTCAAGTATGAGTTTGGGACCCCGAACAGGCTAGGAGCGCTCTCCTAATTATAAACACAAAATCACTGATAACAATTTATTTCAAAAATCTGTGCCGAGATACCCCCTAACCAAATAAATGCATATTTGATGAAAAAATTAACACCTCTAGTGAGACTATTGCGCCTGCGCGAACATGCAACATAACCAGATTGTGTACGGACCTGTATATGCAGCCGACACTGTTAATGCAAGGACTTCATCCCATATAATAGAGGAGTGTACAGATATAATGTTATTATATAACGCTATGGCTGGAATGTCTCCGCTCTCCACTTTGAAACAAAATTTTAGAAAATATCATTCTTCTCAAAAGATATTGCGCATGCGCGAGCACCGCTGGCAGGTGCACACTTCACTCGCATCCACGATGTACGCTGGCTACACTTCCACACACGCACGCGAATACATGCACGCACGCGCAAAACACGCACGCACTCTTCCCCACACATACACACACCCTCACACACGCACACACATACACACGCACGCGCGAACACACACACATAACACACACACACACACACACACACACACACACACACACACACACACACACACACACACACACACACACACACACACACACACACACAAACACCTACAATAAAAATCTAAATCGGTCAATAGATGGCGATACGTGTCCTATATCGGATATAGCTGTAACGTAGAGTATAAACCGGAGGCTTATAGACGACTTTATACGCTCTCTGCCTCTTTTTCAATGAATAATAAACACCTTTCTTGAAAATGTACTTTCAGTTTAGAGAGGACACACTAACCAGTTTGACCTGAAATAACTCTATCCGAATCTAACAAACTTCCCGATAACATTCGCAACATATCTCCAGTACGTATTTCACTTGAAATATTTGAAATATGCGAGAGAGCGCGCATAATCGTCACAGTGGCTCCACATAAAAAATGGATCAGGTTTTCTCACCTGATTTTAATTTATCCAAGGCTGGCGTAACACTACGAAAATTTACTTTTTCCACTAACTCTTTGGTTTCTCGGAATTTGCTTTGGCTGCTGCTTCTTCTGCTCGCTTTCTCCTTCCCTTCCCTTCTCCGTTTCTT